CAATAAATCACTTAGCATGGTGATCAGTTTTGTCCTGTGCTTCTCATTAAAACGGCACCTATAAAGCTTAAAAAAAAAAATCTGTGAAGTAAACGAAAAATTTCTGCAGGAGCTCTTTCTTATATATTGCTTAAAATAAAACAATGTCCTTCTAAGAGCCACTGTCATATACCTACAGTATTTCTTGGTGTGAACAAGGGAATACAAACCAGTTAAACAGAGCTGCTATGCTCAGCCGGCAGAGACATTTTGGGGCCCCAGGGACTACACCTAGGACTCCTGTAGACTTGGGTTTTTTTACTGCATCAGGAAGGTCCCCACTCCTGTGTTGAACAACACACATCTAGCAGGAGAGGTCAAGAGCGGTGGCACTGTCAGTGAGCCTGGTGTGCCATATGCTCTGCACTTTCTCCGGACTGTTTTGCAAGCCCATGTCCTCAAGTGAGCAATTAGTCATGTTTATTGTTTCCGAGTCACTAACAAACCCACAACACAAGAATGACTGACCTAAACTGAGTTCCTGATCCACTCACCTGGCAGCTAGATGCCAGCTTTTTGCCAAGTGCTCTAGTATATGGAGAGGGGAGACAGGTACTTAGCCTAAGCAAAGCAGATTTTGAAAGATGCAAAAGAGGTAAAAAAAAAGAACATACGTAATTGAACAATACAGTCCAAGCATATTAACAACATAAAAAACAGGTAGTCAATTAATCAATAGGTTTTCAGATTTTTATAGCACAAACCATAATTAAGCTCCCAACATCTACTATTTGAGCTGACTGAGAAATTATTAAACCCACACACAGTCCCACTGAACTGAATTAGGCTTTCTTTGAGTTCAAGGGTCTGTTGTTGGGAATTAAGATTTCAAGACTAAAGCGTATAGATATTCTTAACTTCATTTTGAAATCTTTCCAGCTTCTCCTTTAATAATATTCGTAACATTTTTAGGAGAAAAAAAGAGACCTTGGCCAACAGTGTTGTGGGTTTTGTTACATGATTATAGATTTAAAGCGCTACAGTCTGGGAAGGACCATTACATCATTTTGACTGTCCTGTTATAAATCTCAGATCATGAAATTTCATCTGATTTTTACTATATTCAACCTAACAGCTTTTATTTAATTCAATTGCATAGGAAACCTGATGTGTATATATTGTATGTGTTCATATAGAATTGTGCAAGTGAATAATAAGGTTTAGCACTGGAGTGAGGGTTAGGGTTGGAAAACAAGAGGATGCAACCTAATGAGCTGAGGAAATATTTTCCAAGGGATGAATTCACCTTAAGACAACACACTGTGCAGGGTTTTTTTTTTCCTAAAGATCAATGTAAGGATAGAAAATTCAGTCTGAATTTTAATCTGAGGGCTAACTCAAAAAATCAGTAGATAGAAGCTAGTTAACTACAGTAGTGATTATATTCGCAAGGAGCCTTCATACTCACTCTGCAAGGCTTCTCTCAGTCTAGAGCTGTCAGATATCACCTGGATAGGTTTGACTTAATACTAGGAACAACAGAATGGTTACAGAAAGGGTAGAAGGAAGAGCTCAGTCAGACAGAGGCTAAGAAAATAATTTTGGAGTTCATAGAAGTAGCAATTGCTCATCCTCTTTTGCTCAACTAAAACTCGTGGTACTCCTACCAGAAGGAGACAGGAGTAACCCAGCAGTCCAGTCACTGCTAAATCAGCCACAGCCCCACACGCCTGCTGAAACTGAAGATAGAATGAGTCCTCAAACAACATTAGTTTTCCGTTGGTGCAAGAGCTCATCTGAACTGTACAATTGCGCACAATTTCTAGTCTGAGCTGAGCCCTAGAATGGGCCTTACCTGGAAGCACAACTTGTGTCAGCCTCAGAAATAATGTTGCAGGAGGAACCTGTTTTACCTGAGCCCTTCAAGCATCTCTCATCCCAGCATTTAGGCCATTTCTCAGACTCTGCCTCTTCAAATATGTCCCTGTATAGGCCTCTAGTTGAACACTAGTCCTGTCCCACATTCTAGCTCCAAACCAAAAATACAGACTACTGATATAAAGATGTACCTGTCCTCAATAAAGGTATGGATATTTCAAATTAAACTTTTCCCTTAACCCATTGGTCCCTTAGCCATATTTCTACAGTGCTAACTAAATAAAAGATTGCAGGGCTCAAATGGCAAGTGATACTGTTGGCCACAGCCTCACTGCTTCAGGCTGGCTTCTCCACAGGTTTGTGTTGTGAACAGCTGCCTGGAGTGGTCCAGGGTCATTCCAAGCCAAAGAGGGAGACAGCAATTAAAGAATATGGACAACCTGGGATCTACTGCTTGATTTTGCTTCCTTCCCTTCCCTTCCCTTCCCTTCCCTTCCCTTCCCTTCCCTTCCCTTCCCTTCCCTTCCTTTCCCTTTTCTTTAGCATAAAGCTATAGCCCATGTGATTGAAACATAAACGTGACACTAACCTTAACTTGAACGCAAGCTTTTGAACCCACCATCAGACCTATACCATACTATATCAAACAAGGAAGCTCAACGCAGCGAAAAGCTCACAGAGACCTTTGGCAGCCAGGTATTACATTTCTCAGCCTCTGCCCACTTCCAGTACAATGACTAAGGAAAAAGTAAGTCTATGGATAGGGTTAAGGTTCAGAAAATAGAAGCTGATGAACTAAAGAATGTTTCTTTCTAAAGATACAAACTGTCTAAGCCGGGAAGAGATCTTTAGTTTGCATCTCCGAGAACTATTAATTTTGAAGTTGAAAGCACTTTGCTTGAGGAAAGGCTGTTCTTACAATTAAAGTTGTGATTCTTGTTCAGTTAAGGATGATGCACTTTTCTGCCACGTAGCTAAGATTCCACTTCAAGACTTAACTCAGAACTAGTGCCCCATGCCATCAGAAGAAACAGCAACTAGACTCAAGCCATCACCCATTCTCATGAAGCAATTACCTATTTACTGAACTCTACTTCAACACAGTTCCTTATCCGAAACGTGTACTTGAGCTTAGCACTAGACTTCTCCAACCTGCTAGTTCCCAAACTGAAGTGTTCTTGTACAAAGAGGCACTTAAGCTGTGGGCTACTCCTACAAAAAAACTTTGTGACTGTTTCATGCATTAACCCTAATCTTAACGCTAATCCTGAACAAAACCACCAAAATCCAGCCACCATACCTGTGCCCTAACAATGCCTAGTACTGGTTGTGGCAACTAGGATTTAGGCTGATCACATTGCTTGTGAAGTGCTAAGGCATTAATGTTTTATACAAGTCATTCCAAACGTGTGAAGAAGAAAATCCTTTATACTATTCCACACTTACAAATCCTCTTTGCATGTGGAAAAATTGCTAACTTACTGCAGGAATCTTTATGTGTGTGTGTGTGCATGTCTATATGTGTGTATATCTGTGTGCATGAAAACTGGTTTGTTTCCTCCATCAGAGCTAGGTGCTGTTTTCACCAAGTTTCCCACTGGAAAGGGTTTAAACTAAAGAATTTTTAAATAATGTACAGCCAAAATAACAACTCTGAAACCAAATTCCTACTATCTCACCATTTCTCACAGTTAGCAACAAGTGCTATATGCCCCACTCCAAATAACTGGCATTAAACTCTTTCCAGCCTAAAAGTTCTGTGAAATATTAGACCTGAATTTGCAAGAGTGCTGAGGTACCACATGCCAAGTCATTTCAGTTTCAGTGGGATTTTTAGGCATACATTGACTGATATAAACAACACATTGTAGTCCTCAGGTCAGGCTGTGCATGGGAGTCTATGTCTCAACTAGGGTGAGACGCCAGCCTCTTCTTCCCACACATCCACGCACATGTGCTTCTGTGGGGAGGGAGAAGACGGCCGTGCAGGCTGGCAAGAAGCACTGGGACTCCAAAGCCAAGCACGGAGCTAACAAACACTCTCGTCAGGGCTCTGGGGTGTTCCGTGCCCTCTCCACATAGCTGCCGTGGGACGGGGGCTTACAACAGCAAAGCATGTGGGGGGTCCGTTTTGGGAGGAAGTCTGATGAGTACATTTTGGAGCCTAAGTCTGAGGGATAAAGAAGAGAGCATGTGAAGATTTTCGTTTATCATGTTAAAATCGCAAGTGGCATCTGTTTAAAGCAAATTAGGTGCTCAAAATTTTAAATGTTAACATATGAGACAAGGATCAAATATGATGTTCAAAGGTATAGTATAAATGCAGTTTGTCGCATGGCTATTGCCACAGAAATTGTGATGAATCTGTGTCTGGGCATAGACAAATATATGTGATGTATGGCAAACCTTTTTTAGTGTTACTAATTTCTGTTCAGTTGCTTGTTTTTTACTTGTTAATGAACACAAAAAGATAAAATTATTTTGGAGAGGGCCTCTAATGTAAATTAAGCAAACAATTGTTTTTAAAATCCAAAACACATACAAAGAATATATGTTTCTGCATACAACTTGCAACCATGTTTTGAAGATGTAGCAAGGCAAACATGGTTTATACCTATACGGTATGGCAGAAATCCAATATTCATCTGCTGTTCATATTGCAAGAAAATGAGATCATTAAGGTCAGAAAGAACAGCTGCTTTAATTATAACACCCTGATACATCATATCAAAGTTTTCATCATCTCACACAAACTCTTAAGAACATACCCCAGGGATTCATTTCTATCATCCTGCTTTTTCTCGGGAAGGAGACTACATAAGTACGCTCCAGAGCACTGGCTGCTTTGAGTGGTGTGATGCTGTGTAAAATAATTTTACCCCAAGCTCAATAATGCTATGGCAACTATTATTAATCTAACTTTTACAGTTTTATTCCTTTTTCTGTGGTGGCAGCGGTAGGGGAAGATATATTTGGCAGCTGGGAAGCTGCCCCGCAGGCTGCACGGTCCCGCTGCCGCACATCCCCACGGGCTTCTGCTGGGGAGCGCTCGGTACCCACGGCTCCGGCTGGGGACGCTGGTCCGCCCGAGGCACCCCAAGGTATCCCTTCTTTAAGGGAATGGCTGCTTTGTGTTTTAACAGATGCTATGCTTCTGGTAGCGGAGAGATTAGAGGGACCGTTCAACATTGAATCAGTCATGGATCCTATTGATGTCAAGATTTCTGAAGCCATCATGAACATGCAAGAAAACAGCATGCAGGTGTCGGCAAAGGTACTGTGTGAGTTGCGCTTTCTCTGTTGCTGAATGTCACAACCAGGGGGAAAAACACCTCCACCATTTTTCTGTCCAGACTCTAAGAAAGATTGTCCAGACCACTAGAAATTGCTTTTGCTCATTCGACAGTCCACCAGACTCCCTTTGAATCCTTCGTCTAGTTAAACAAGCTTGAAGTTTTCAAAAGGGAGTGGCAGGGCGAAAAGCACCATTTAGTAAACTCCAAATTAATAGCTGTAAGAGATTTAAGGAAAACAGAGAGCACTGAAAATTGGCGGTAACTTTGTAAGCCATATCCTGCGGAGTACGCTTGGTAACTTCTGCTCATGTCTCATCTGTGATTCTCCTTATTAACTTCCAAACACATTTTGATCTGTCTAGGTCAGACTGAAGTATAATGTGTTTGTGGTGAATACACAAAATGTTCTGTTTAACCTCCTTTAATAGCCGCTCAAGGGAAATACCATTACATTGGACAGTCTCTGATTACCAGACCTCAGTTTGATAGAATTTTGTCTGGATTCTGCCATGAAGATAAACAGAGTTAATGATACCAGCTTCCTCCTTTCCATTTTTAGTGTGTGTACACACAGATCACCACCACCTCTGACCCTCATGTTAATAAGATCCTTTGAATTCAGTAGCAGGTACTGTTGAGCCAACAGTCAACAATTAATGGCTTTTCCTTAATATTCATCAGTGCACTGTGGCTCAAAATCTAAAGTCAACAGTTTGCCAGGTTCTCTGCGTTAGGAGTTTCTACCTCCCATTGATCTCCCAGTAGTCAGTTAGGTGCTGGCTAGACTGCCACCCCAGCCAGTAAATTTCCATTGCTTGGAAGGAAGCTGCCATAGCTGGGAAAAATGTGGGGACAAAAGGCAGCAGGCTGAGGTTAATATTCTTCCTGCCAACCCAAAATCAGATGCTCTTTATGGCCCCAGTGCTGCAGGTTGCTAAGGATTTCCTTCGAGATGTTTTTTACTTTCAACCTATGTGAAGGATTTTGAAAGCAGTCTACATCCTGCCTAATGAGACTTTGTTCTGGCAGCAGTGATCAAGGCGTTTAACAGCCAAATTCTCTCAAATATTTTGGGAATTAAAGGCTAGCTTCAGCAAACTCAGCCCTTACCTCAGAAAAAGAAACAAAAAATATTTTCACTGAAAACTCACCCAAAGCTCAGGTGTATTTCATTTTCCTTTTTACTTGCTTGCTTCTCACAGTTTTTCCATTAGTCAGGAAGCTGCATCCCCTGCCAGAGTCCAGTGATGTCTTGGCACAAGCTCATCTCACTACTTATTTGTAGCAGAGCAGGCTGTTTCTCCTGTCCCTCAGAAATATTTTATTTGCTGTAAAGATTAATAAATCACAGCAATTCTATTTGCAATGTAAAGATTTTTTTCTAAGGGAAACCTTAGCCAATATTTTTTTAAATCTTGAGAAACAGAAACCAAATTATATCAGTGAAATTTATTTTATTATATTTTCATAGATAACAGAGCTGTCTACCCTTGAGGAGCCTTTGTATATTTCTGTGTAGACCATTATTCTCCTGAAATGTGATTTGCTTGTTTTCCTAGGTTATATCCATCTGTTTTCAGGTCTTAACACATGGAAATGTTTTATTCTTAAAGAAAAGCACAAGGCAAAGACTTTGGGTTTAGTGCTACGTTCTCCTATGTCATGTCAGATCTGTAGAGATGATATATGAGTGGACTTCGAATCAGTCATCTGTCGTCTAATTTTTCCCCCTTATACATACTGACCACTTAGAGCTTCAGTGAAAATGACAGATACATTGGCGGATGTAATGGGCTGCATGGAATGTAATTGCAGACCTAATGTAGGAGAAAAGCCACGCTTGTCAATTATTCTGAGACACCGCTCAGAAAGCTTCAGGCGGGGTGACAAAATCATGCTATTTTCTCTTTCTTCAAACAATTTTGTATCTTGCATTTGACTGTACCCACTGAAAATGTGGTGACTAGGAATCACAGCTATTTTTCCACAAGTCAGTCAGCACATTTTTCCAATGGGAAAATGATGATGCACTAATAATGTTATGCCTGCAACACCCACATACACATAGATTATTCTTCACCGCTGACACGCAGCTTTTTCTACCTAAAAATCTGGTTGATGTCTAGGAGGAGGCTCTATGCTGTATTCAGTAGAATTTGGGGCCATTTTGTTTCTCTTTTAAAAGGAATGCAACAAATAAAACCAAACAGTTTCTTCCTCAAGGACCCCTCACTAATCTCAACCTCTTTGCAGGCAGAAGACCCAGAGTTCATTTCATCCAAAACCTGCCCCTCTCCTGTTTCAAATATTTACATAAAATTGCCCTATTCCAAAAGTCATTCACATTAAATTGTGCTATCAATTTGTCTTTGTATCACACATGTTTTGTATTATACCTGCTGCAATTATATATTGAAATCTATTTGAGAAAAATAAAAGTATGTTTAATATAACACATTGACTGTACATTACTGTGCATATGAAGACTAAATTAAGTGAGCAACAATGTACACTTTCCAACATAAGAAGTGTATAAAAATAAGCAAGAATGCATGCTCTTATGTGAATGATGAAGTCTTCAATTTTAGACATCAGCAGAAAAATACATCGTGAACTTCCTAAGTCTCCATTTTTATGGTTTGTCCCTCCATTCTTCACTTGATGTAGTACTGAAGGTTTTGTCCAATATCTTTTTCCTATAAATATGCCCCCCTACTCAGCACTATTCTTTTAAGAAATAGTGTTCATGGTTACAGTTATACTAATAAATAAAAGGGGGACAAGGACCAGGGCCTGATCTTGAGGCCAAAGTGCCACAGCCTAATTCATTTCTATGCTGCTGAGCGCTGCCTTCTCTGGAGCTGTTTCATTCTGCCAAGAGCAAGTTGGAGCAGTCCAAGAAAAAGCCAATGAGTTAACAGTTAATCAGTGCAGACAGTCAGGGCTTATTGCTTGAGTTCACGCCTTGTCTTTCATTTCCTCAGAAGACGCAAACCCTCTGTCTTCCACTCTTGATGGGTGCACATCAATATCGAGACAGAGAATTATAGAGATGCCACACGTACCCCTTCTACCTTTGTTCTGCTGACCAAGGACATACAGACTCAGCCACATCACAGTACCTGTCACTGCATAAAACGGAGCACCTCTGTTCCTAGGCCATTAACTTTTCTTGTTTGTGTGCTGATTGTGGTTGATTCTTTTAGCACAGTTCACATTAACCAGGTAGCGGTTAAGTATTACGTTAAGATCCTCCAATTCATCCTGAGGCTGGAATCTTTCTCTGTTCCTTGATATTTCTCTGCAGTCTATATTCAGCACTGGCTGTCTAGAAAGTCTGACCACAAATCTCTAGGCTTCATAGGCTGCTTACCTTGGGTGGCTGTCATGTTCCTGAACGACAGCCACATGAGGTCCTTGCTTTGCCTCAGGGCAAGTCCCATCCCTGACAGCTGCAATCTCTGGAGATGCTTTTCAAAAAGGAGCAATGGTCTAGAAAGTCAGACCCCAAAGCCTTCCTGCTAGAGGAAGCCACACGCTCTGAGTCAGACCCAAGTTTCCCTTCTCCAAAAAAAGGCCAGGACTGAAGATCATCAAAACCAGTTTCCATAGCTTCATCATGTAACACCTGCAGCCATTCTGACGGAGTACCTTCTGCAAACCAAACCTCACAGAGTGCAAAATCAATCAGTCTGGACTGCCCGAGATGCCTCCCAAGACATCAGCACATTCAGCACGTTTTAAGAGTAGGCTTTGCAATCTGGGTCTACCCAGACTTCAGTGGTATTCCCTGAAGATTGCCTCTGGTAGAAGTCAGGTTGCAATAGATTTACTTTGGGTTTCTCCGGATAATGTCTGAGACATGTTATCTTCATTACTGAAACATCTTTGTTATTTGCCAGTGACACCTCTTCGGTATTTGCACATTATAGTGCCAAACTCAGTGCTAAGCAACAGCTTGATTATTTCTCAGGTAAAAGTTTCATATTCTGTATATTGTTTTCCATGGCTCAGTTTATATCCAAGACTTAGTCATAGCATACATTTACCTTATTCTTATTCTCATTCTCCCTGAGGTAATTCAGGGAGTCATATTCAGAGAGTCGTAACACAGAAATGCTTATTTCAATCTTGGCCAAAACAAACATGTCTTGGGGCCTTCACAATCTTCCCATAAGGCTGTCGGTACCATTAGCTTTGATTCCTGCTTCAAGTCAAAGAGTAAATCCTACATCTGTTCCGTTTTAGCGATATAAATGTTTACTAGTTGACATCTGCAGAGATTGCTCATTCACAAGAAGTGGAGGAAAACTCAAAAAACAGCAGAAAAGAGGTTATAACATCCATTTTTCTTCAAAATTGAGAAAATTCCTAATCTGGTGGCATCAGCATAATTGTGTCTTCGTTGCTACTCAAACCACGACACACTGGCCTATTTTCTGCATTTTAAACAGTCTGGTACTATACAGATATGTTTGGCTTCTGTAAGTGTCATTTGGCTGCCACGCCAAATTTTTTCCACTTTCATAAAGGCTATCCCATAACTGAGTCTCACCTTAGTAAGTCTTAAATCTACTTTTATCCAAGCTGATGTATGTGCCATTTTAACCTATATATATATATGTTCCTTTTTGGCAATTACTTCAGCTAAAAGGATGAATGAGCGCCATGACATAGCAGACTACCTGTGCATTATTTATAAGGAGGAAATCTTAATAAAACTACATTCAAGGTTCTTCTCAAAATAGCCCCCGAGTTTCATGTTAACAAAACCTCTTCATTTATCTGTGTTCTTTCCAGAGCTCTGTGCAGGAAAAATATAATGCCATTTCAGGAAAAAATCAATGCCATTCTATCTGAATATGAAAGAGTCAATGGAGCAGAGTCATACACTCAATAAGAAAACACTGAGCACTAGCACATGTCTAAATAACAGAATGACTCAAGGCTTCATAGAGAACAAACTGCTGGGATTCAAAACTTCGAATTCTCCTGGGAAAAGCACTCTTTTTTTTACACTACCTACATCCTAGTCCTGAAGTAGATGCCTCCATTTAGTCAGCTCGATAGATGTAATTCTTCACTGGCTCTGTTGACTTGATCTCATGGCTTCGTTCATATCCCTGACCACAGAGGTCTAGTGCTCTTTGTGACACTCCAGGGAATCCCATCTGAGCTTTAGCTGCAGTTCAGTGCGGAATCGTCTTGGGTTAAGACAGTCTTAACAGGCGTCTCAGACATCCCAGGATGCCACAAACTATTATAGATACTGATGCGAGAGCAACTGAAGGGAGCTTTTGATCTCCACTGTCTAAAATGGAAGCTTAGATGTTTAGCTTAAATATAGACACCTACATATATACCCCTAAATTTAGGTTTCTTAATTTCAAATGGAATCCCTTCTCTAAATTTGGATGCAGTGGACTGCACCAATTATATATAAAATGCAATTTTTTAAAGAGAGTGGATTTATGCTGCCAATTCCCAGCATCTGTAATGAAACACCTGAATATTTTTCCAGAAATTACTCAATATCTCTGAGTAGCATTGTGAAGAAAGCATGTCACGTGGTTCTTCTTAGGGAGTATTTGTTAATTTCAGGTATCAGCTTTATATTCTCTGTTCTGGCACTTAATACTTGGATGCAAATGAGAAGATGTCTCTTTTGCACCCAAAGGTTAGTAACTGAATGTTGTATCCTTTGTGCATTTCTGCGAAGCCATTTAAAAAGTAAATTATTTCTTCTTCTGTGATGTAAAAATTGCTATCTAATTTCCATCTCTATTATTGTCTGGCTTTATGTAAATTTGTTCACATAAAACTACTTGCTACAACTATTTCTATGAAGCTAAATGCCACAAAGTTGTGGGTTTTTTCAGTATGTCATAAGAAAAAATGAAATATAAATTATGTACACGTGCAGTTACTCCACATGGTCATACAAGTAGCCTAACAGTCACACACTGTGAAATTTAAGGAGAAGATAGTGCCCTCACTTTCCTTTCCTCTGAGAGTCAAGTTGCATGTTTTGGATAATTGTCACTTGTCTTTGTAAGCAAATATCTGATTGCTTAATTGACTAAATGGGATTTCATAGATTTCTAAATAAACAGTTATGTTTTCTGCATATAACTTATCTTCAGTCAGAAGAAATATGAATAAACTTTTGTAAGTATAACTGATGCCCCCAACATATATAATTGCCCCTTTAAAATGTACAGTATCATACACAATCATCTATAAATCCTGAACATTAATCTTAGTTGAATTTTCTTCAAAGATTCTTTCCTGATGAAAAATTTAGAACTTTAAAAGCTAAAATCATCTTTCCTGGTTGATTAAATGAATTTATTGTCCAATAGTCCTCATGACTAGAGAGGCTAGAAACTCTTACAAAAATCTTACAGATATTCTCAAACCAGACCAAGCAGTATTCCACTCATAAATTAAAAATCCCAATGGCTGTACAACAGCTGACTTGCTGGACTTTGAGCCAAAACAGACCTGATGATTGGACATAAATTTAGTAAGAATCAGTTTCTTTCAGCAAATTTTGAATCATTTGGGGCCTCTAAATTAACATCAGAAAACCTAACTAAGAGCCAATTTTAAAGTATCCTGAAAGCAACAAAAGTCATGCCATCCATGGCTACTTCAGGACAGAACCACTCAAAGCAGAAAATCCAAACTCTAAAAATGAAACATGACTGGTTTTGATCACTGGCTCACAGCATAGCTTGTGAGCTTGCTATCTTATTTGCCACACAAAAAGGAGTAATCTGGTCCTACAGATAAAACACAGCACCTGCATAGGAGTTTTCACCTCCACAAAGCACATTAAGACAGATAGTTTGTGTCTGGCCTTAGGGTTTTGTAAAATATATCTTACAAGAAATGGTGATTTTTTTTTTTTCTTCTGAATGGAGACAAAATGTTGAAACAGCCAAAATACAATGGTCACAAAAAAGAAGGATGGTTGCAGAACTGAAAAAGTTGGTATGAAGGCAAAAGCTAGGATCCTTGGGAGAGCACTTGAAAAATTTAACTCTGAATATTCTACCTCCTTTCAGCCAAGCAACTTCTGGGAGGGTTCCTCTGGGATATATATATACTTGATATCCAATAGTCAAAAGTGTCCTCTGTGTCCTTTAGTATCCACCAGATATATGCTACTGAAACTTTTTTCCAAATGGAAGTACATGAAAAATTTCATAACCCTGAACATGATTTTTTATACCCAGAAAACAAACACACTAGCAGAAAATAATTCTCACTGTTGCCCACTCAATATGCCTCACCCCTCTTCTAGGGAGAGATTAGTAGGGAATAAGAAAGTTATCCTGTTATAAGACTATTTCATCATTGACCTTTTCTCTCAGACTACAAACAAAATTACAAGGTAGGAAGAGCTGTGGGTAGGGATTATGAATGAGCTGTGATTCTGGGTAAATACCACATTTTAAAAAAAAACCTAAAACTATTATTAACTAAGTCCTGCCACAAAGGACTTCCTTTTGCTCATTTCTCTTCCTGGAAAGACAGCAATTAAAATGCTTTCAGATGTTAACTTCTTACAATAATCACCTTCCTAAATTAAGGGGGTTTTAAGGTCCCTATATGTTTTTATACCTTCACTGAGCAATTAATAATGCTTAATTATTAACCTGAGTTTTAATGCAGGGCAAGTGCTCAATTCACTATTATCAAAATGTCAGTCAAAGCTGGTTTCAAATATATGAAAGAGAGAGTAAAGAGGCTATAAAATACCAGCTTCCTTTTTTTTTATGATTTTAATATAACCTACAACATCTTTTTCAGGTTTTCCAAGGATGTGGCCAACCTAAACCAGCACCTGCCCTGAGATCTTCCCGTTCTGTCCCTGAAAACTTCAATACCCGGTTTAGACCATATAACCCAGAGGAGCGACCTACAACTGCTGCTGGCACAAGTTTGGATAGGCTGGTAAGGCAAAATATATTCCATTTTCAAATTAATAGAAATGGCTTTGTAATATAGTAGAAGAGTGGTAATCTCCTGACAATTTTTTTTTAATAATTTCATAATCACTCTACATAGTTTCTGTGCCAGCTTTTCCAGCATTCAGTAAATCTTTTTTTCTCCATTGGAAACGGTACAGAATTGCATTGTAGGAGAACAATATGACTTAGTTTTTATGTATTAGAAATGTTAGAAGAAAATAAGCTCTTTTCTGGAGGCCAAAAACCAGATGATCCATGGCAGGTACTTTGCAGTATAAATTCTCTTTGAAAATTGATCTATAGCAATATTTTATGTTTTTTTTTTTATTTTATTAAAAATGTTTTTAGGTATTAAAGAAATTTTAGCAGCTAGTTCTTTAACATACACACTTGCAAAGGCACGTTGATTTGTTCTACTTCTTTACTTAATTATAAAATTACCACTGCTTTATTTCCATCCATCTCAAAAATTGACTATAATCAGCTAAAACTTCAGTGATCACTAGTCTTGCTTTATTCATTCAATCATTTTGAAAACAAGACTTTAACATAAGATTATTTTCTTTACTACGAGTCATTGGATTCACATTTCAGACTTTGATGTTCCTGCTATTTATACATCTATAGATTTATAGCAGGCTAATTATTATAGCTGTTAATACTGTCTCAGCAATCATCTCGAGGTAAAGCCAATGAGCAAAATTAAAGAGTCGTAAAGCGTCTGAATCAAACCAGACTGTATCGCATACCCTCCGAGCTTATTGCTGAAGGCTTGCACAGCATTGGCCTCTCTTGCCGAAGAGAGCCGTGCTCAGGGCCGTAGCAAGAGCAAGGGGAGAGGAGCGCCCAGCTGGAAAGAGCCACCCTTCGTTGGGGGTATGAGGTTTTGGCGAGCTGCACTCCCGCTGGGTGCCAGGCATGTGCTGGCTGCACTAGGGCACCAAAACGTCTTGCTATGGTTCTGATCACGAGCCTAAAACGTCTAGAGGTTTCTCCGATATGCAGCTTAAATCGCTGAGCAGGAACGCAACCATACTAATTCAGATAAGGACCTGGGTATCTTCTTGACACCATCATTCAGCAAATTCCTTTGATGATCACAGTAGTCTTCCACAGCGCAAGTCCTTCCAATCACCTGTCTGTGCTGTATTCTATCTACTGTATTCTGTCAATCTTCATGGCAATTCAGCTGGAAAATGACATGGCATTTCTAGTCAAGACGTGGGATTACCCTGCAGCTAAAAGCAATGTTTGTTAGTTCTCTGCTCTTCTGGAAATAATGTAGCCTGGTTATCCTAAAAGGAGAAGCAGAAAAGAAGATGTTTACCTCCATTGTAGACTTGGGTCTTTCTACTGCAGCTTGTTCATAACCCAGTGTAGCATCTCAGGATAAAAATCTGGCTGGCAATACTCGATCCGTGTTTGATGGGATCTTAATTTTACCCTTTCACTTTAGATGCAGAGAACCAGCCCTTGTGTTTTGCTCAGTGCAGAGGCCTGGATCTTAATCTAGAATTGGCCAAGGCGAAGTGAAAGGTCACCAAAGACTGTAGGTTTCAGTCATGCTCTGTCAAAACTAAAGGCTGCAAACGGAGAAAGTGGGAGGAAGAGCATAAAAAGGAAGGCTGGTAGCACAGTTCAGCTTGGAGTACTCTCATGTCGTAAGAACAGTTCAAGCATTTTTGCAATGAAAAAGACAGGTTTAAGAAACATTCCATATTGACATAAAGAGAATACTTCTAAACACATTAATATCCTTTTTTAACTACAAGCTTCCAAATTCTGAGCAGCATCCTGAATAAAGCAGAGACGTCACATGCTGCCAGCCTTTAAAGGCTGTAACTAATGAAAATTGCCAATGCAGATAATCCTTTATAACTCCTAATATCTTGTAGACTTTCAAAGGGGAACTTGAGTCTGTATGATTTAACTAGGTTTGTTCGTGCATCATTTCAGAAAAAACAAAGATCTTAGCATTGCTGCTGTTACTTTAAAAGGTGTTCAAGCCAAATGCCTATTTGTTTTTCTTGCTGGTGATATTTAAAATAACTATTTATGGTCTGTTAGTGATGAGTGTTGGTACGAAATCCATCTCCAAATGGCAGCGATGCCTGTGTTATCTCCTTTCGGGCTGACACCAACAATCCCTCACGTTAGCCTCAAGAAGGCCACTGACCTCAGCTGGAGAGAGGAAGGGCTGTTTATGTGGATGAGAGCAGAAGGCCTTGTTTCAGAGCTGTAATCCCTTATCAGCACTTGGGAAAGGTCACTGCCTGCATCTCACACCAACTTGGGTAATTTTATCCGGAAGGAGATAAATGCGGCACTCCTGCCTCGCAGGAGCGCCATTCAACCTGCCTGCATTAGATCCTCAGGGTTTAATGTGCTGAATCATTCCCTGAATCACGTATCTCTCTTCATTAACTATAGACAGAGCCTGGAGGACCAGCTTCATTGAGATCCTCCTAACCCTTGCATTGCGAACAGGACATAAGGAGAATCCCACTCGCAACAGTTTTCCAGTCTGCACACTGATCATTTTCTATTGCTTGCTTAACACAAACGTACAGCAATTAGCATTTTGCTAGTAGTGCCAAACAGTTAAAGCCCCTTTTGATTATTATAGATAGAAGAAACAAATCTTTCCTTGTGAGTCAGCTGACTGTTCAGTGTTATGTTAATGCTTTTAAAAGTCTATTCTGGAGTTTGTATTCATAAAACACTGTCAGACCACTTAACTGTAAACTGTCATCGCAAAGTCCAAACATGCAGCTATGTAAACCTCAAAAGAAGTGACAAACAATTCTGCTTTCATCTGTCTTTGACAGCATGTCCCCGGAAGAGACCGAGTTTAGAAAATATTTCCTCTGCATCTCAGTCTTATACAAACATGTAGCGTATCTGAACCAATTTTTTTTTACTCCTGCTCATATCCCCATTTAGAAGCTTAATTCAGTTGAGCATATTTTATCAGGTGTGTTGCACAAAGGACCCCTCATAAGAAGCCTTCACTGACATCACCAGTTACTGAACTCATCTGAGAAAGTGCTCCTTCATTCTTGCCTGCACTTGTGTGATTAATCCAACTATTCCATTCCAAGAGGAGGGAAAGTGGTTTTGCTGTGATATTGTCATAGCTGTAACCAGTAACATTTAATAAATAAGACATAGATCAAAATAAATTGTGAGAAAAGTGAAAAAAAATCAAATATCCCCCAAAAGCAGTGGTATCACTGGTTTAAAATGCATCACATGTATTTAGGAAGTTATATAGAGCTTGAGAGAGTTGTCTAAGCATGGGTGTAAAGCACCATCTAAGACACCCCGGAGTATCTGAAACATGGGACCAGCAGATATGGCACAGGTCTAGAGGAGACCAATATACTTCTGAAGCAGCAGTGGGGAGCTGGGTAGAATACGCTGCAGCACCTCAAGCAATTCAAGATCCCTATGCTCAGGCAATTCAATCCCATCTTCACAGCACAGGGCCTAAAAGTCAGGCTCTTTCTGAAGTCAATGGAGAGAGACACACGTCTTGGGAGAGTGATTCACCCCATCTGTCCCAGACACCTCTCACAGACTGGGAAGTGAAAGGCTCAACTGAGATGATACCCACATGTAGATTTGCAACACTGAGATGCCTCGGAGTATCTGAGACATCTAATTGAGCTGGCAGATAGGACAGTAATTTGGGATGCTTATGCCCTCCTGGCCTGGCCGGGTAGAACACCCTAGAGGATGCCTACTATGTGGCGTCCAGGTGGGAGAACAGAACTGAGCCCCAGCTGTTCTCTGCACGTCCCTCTGGGTGGAATTCAGCTACAGAAACATGGTCACCTAATGCTATTTGAGATGCCTGTGGTCTTCAGGATGTCCAAATGTGAAAGGCAAGTTACAGGAGACCTGGCTGGAAGTAAGACAGAATACCTCAGAGCTACTAAGTTCACTTGCTATGCCAATATTTAGGTAACTGGATTCCACCCTATTTCTTTACTGACTGTAACAGAAGCAAAAACAAGGACTTCTCTGATTCAATATAGAGATCCATAGTTTAGATACCTATAACCAGCTATCTAGATTTGAAGTCTAGATGACTGCGGTTTTTACTGTTAACAGAGAGAAATAAAGGTTTTCATTCAGTTGTCTAAACATAGGTTTAGGCAACTGAATTGAGATCAAATATTTATAAAGCACGATTCATCTCATCCCAAAGAATACGTTTAAACAGCTCAGAGAAATCATTCCATATCCCTCTTCTACAAAGAGCCAAAAAGTGACAACCTTAGTCTAAGCATCTAGCAATTACACCTGAAGTTCAGTAAGATAAATACTCTCAGAAATTAAATGTTTTTAACCACTGAGCTCAGCTGCTTCTGTACAGCGTGATCTAAAATTTCTCATTTAAAATCAACTGCTTGTAAAGACTCGTTATCTTCTCTGTGGTTGCCTGTTTGGTATAACCTGTGGTTTATTTTGTTTTGTTTTGTTTTGTTTTTCTGTTCCCTGAATCTGTTTCCCTCTTGCTTCCCAGAGGACTATCTGGAGGACAATGCAACATGGTGTAAGCTTTGGTATTCTTATTCTTCACCTTCATTCCCATTTGTCGTTGTACAATGCTGGGCAAAACACTTCTTAAGTTTCATCTTCACCATCTTTACTTTGTGTGTGTCTTATAGGCTAAAACGCTAGCAGTTCTTTCCGTAATTTTGCATTCTGGCTGTTTTAATTCTGCCCAGTGCCCCGAGCTCCTGGTTCCTTCCAGTATTTTTCTCCCCCTTCGAGGATGATGCTTCACCCCCAGAAAGGAGCACAGGTATTCGCTCTGCGAGCTAAAAGCTGGCGTGAGCGTCCCCACGGTCTCAGAGCCCACGTCCGCGTGTGCTGCCTTGCGGACGCCGCGGTGGTGCTGGGATAGCACCGGAGCAACGGGAACAAGGTCCCCGGCCTTCCTGGGCTCTCACCCTAGAATTGTCCCTGTCTTGCTGTCCGATCTCAGGCAAACCGCTGAGCTTCTCTGTGGGAGCTTGGCAAAGCGGATTCCCTTACGGTTTCCAGCTTTGTAAGTTTTTGTGAACGTTAGAAGTTTCAGACAGGCGGCCGTCTCGGCAGGGTTCAGCACGGCCCAGGGGGAAGGAAGGAAAGAACAGAGCACCACGCAGATATGCATCATCTCACTTGTGAAATACCTCAAAGCATTTAGCTTGGACTATTATATCCTGCGTCTTAGCAGGACTAATTAGTCTACAGAGAGCACCATGCTGATATAGCCATACTACCTCCTGCGTTTGAGCTGCCTCAAGTACCTCTGTATCCACCGCACCACTGTACGGCACAGTGCTGCCTTAATTCAGCTGGAATTTCTCCCGAGAACATACTGCAGCCTGACCTGGCTGGACGTGTATAAAATAATTCCACATTTTCTTTCAGGAGGACATGGAAGCTTTCCTGATTTTCCACAAGGGAGCTGATGCACTATTAGCCATATAATACATAATGCACATGCATACTATGGAGATAGGCAACAAAGAAATTGGCCGTGGCATTTTGCAAGTGATTTACATTCAAGCACAGTATAATGGCTGCATAGATAAGTGGACGAGCACGCACCCAGTCTGAAAAAGAAAACCTTTCATGCTCTTTACCCTGGGGAGGGGGATATATTGTGTCACACTTTGTAGGAGAATGTTCTTTTATTTTCCTTCCTGCCTTCCTTAAAGTAAAAGTAAATAAAGTCTCAATTTCCATGAGCAAAAGACCCTGAAACATTTTTTTAGGAATAGAGCGGGATGTATTTTAAGTGTCCATTCAGTCCTATTTTTTAAATTTTTTTTATTCCATTGTGTAATGATTTTTGTTACAATAAAAAAATGCAGTAGTAACCTAACAAATCTGTTGTGAACAATTCCTTCCCAGTGCTCCTAAACTATATGAAGTAGAAAATACGATTAAAAAAAAAAAAGAATCTGCTTTGCATTTTAGCTATAAAAGACTAAAATTAACAGGACAGTATGCTAGGAAGACATTGATCTGAATTGCCTAGGGAATCCTCTGGGGCACTCCTGAAAGTGGAGTTTGTTTCAGTTTTGTTAGGATCCATTTAGTCCAGAGTCTAGAAATGTTAAATATACACAGTGGTAGCACAATTTTCCTGAGATAGGATGTTTATTCTCAACACTCTATGTCTCAAGAGGCCCTAGAATAAAATCCAGTAGGTATAAATCTTAGAGGGTTTAAAATACTGAGATTAATTTTTCAGACACCTTCTGCACACAGAGGCCATAGGGAAAGATACAAACAATGAGCCTGTAAAAGACTTCATAGCTCGGGAGGTTTTGGTGACACTCTTAAGAGTGAAGATGACAGGCTCATGCGAGTGTTTTAGAAGCCCACTGACTTCCCATAGGCTACTCCCCCCGCAACCCTTAGGTGCTGTGCTGTTGGATACGCCGTTTCACCCTGTGTGACGTTAATCAGCAGATAACTCCTGTAAAACGTAAGGTGTACAGCTCCTCCAGTTTCAGGTTTTGTGTGCTTAAACAGAGTCCTGTTTCTGATTAGCTGTCTGGACACAATATGCACAATGAATAAATATGTTTTACAACATCTGTCGTGGTCATTTGGTGTCAGATTTAGGATTTGTGTGGTTCTCCAAAAATAGGTGTTTGCTTAGTGTCAGGCTTTGTTTATTCTCAGTTTCTGTGTCACAGCAATATCTAAGTAAGTTTAAGTGTGTGCAATCACTTTTTCCCTCATGGTTAATACCAGTTTCGGGTGGCAAAGGCGGATGAATGATGGTGGCTGTCAGAACCCTCCTGGGAGACCTGCCAGAGTCCTGTTTTTAAAAACAGCGATATTATTCCATCCCCCAGCTGAATGGTTCTGCATGCTGCTGTATCTGATGCAGTGCATTCCTAACGCGCGTGAGGCGGTTACTAAGAGCTTTATTACAGTGGTTGCCAATGTCTTCAGGTGGAATGGGTCTGCCTGCTGTTCGGGCCCTGCTTAGTAAGGAAAGACCGTCTTCCAACGGTAACAGGAAAGACAGATCTACCTTAATTAGTTGTCAAGGAAAAAAAATGCACAATCTTAATTGCCGTGCAGTGTCTGCCTTGCCTGAAAAGTGATATGTTGCCTGTCTCATGGAACGCAGTGCCTGCTTGAACATCTTCTAAAAATGTACTTGTTAGTACTAGTTGAACTTCCTTTATCTCATGGGCGTGAAGACCACTGAGAGTCATCATCTCATTTCCAGGAAAGTCTTAGGGGTATGAATGGTATTATGTATCCCTGTTACAGACATGAGGAATACAAAACCTGTAGGCAGAATCCACTCTCTATTACTAGACTTGTCTGCACACAGTAAGACGAAGAAATGGCATAGTCATGGGTCTTCATTTGTTGTATGTTGAGAAACTATGTGATTCCTGAGCTTGGCTATTAGGGTAAAGAAAAGAAAGATACGTAGGGTAAAGTTTGCACATCTGTGCCATATCAAACCAGACTAACATGAAGTGGGATTTATTTGCCCTAGCTTTTCATGTTTCTAATGTTGCTATCAAAGTCTGAGCTATCACCTCATTCCTTTACTAATCGATGGAGAGAATTAGGCACCTCCAGACCTTGCTTAAGATATTCATTTGGAGATGACAAGAATCTGGATTACCCATTTCTTCCCACTGAGTAAGAAGAGAATCTGGATGATTAGCTCAGACATCCAATTTGTAGATGTCTAAATGTAACCGTAATGCTGGGCCTTGGAGCTAGGCTCTATGAATCAAATGCATACAAAGGAGATTTTGGTCTATAAAATATATTGATACATAGTTCCAATCATACTTGTAATCATAACTCATCATTTTGGTATCATCAGGTACCTAGAAGGATGGCTAGTCTCCAACAAAAATAGTTCATTCGGAGGCTGCACAAGTTTTATTCAATGGCAACTCCCCCTTGTAAATCTGGATTAAAATCCACTTCCTTCCATTTGATGTTTTAGCCTCTGTTCAATAAAGACTAGGGGTTTTTTCCCAATATACAGAAAGTTTGTATTATCAGCCTCTGGAAGATGAATCTAAGCAGGAAATTTATCAACACTGCTCTTCCAGCTGAAAGATAGATCACATTTCATTTCATCTGTCTGTGCATGAATCTGTGCAGAAGGAAAAGTGAATTCTTAATGTTCTTGTTAATGCTAAAGAAAGATAGTGACTATATAAACATCCTCTGGACTTTAGCATTTTGACATGATATTAAAAGAAAAAATATGGTTTAAAAATTGGTAGCAGGGCTTGTGTCCCCGCTTGCAGTGCATAAACCATGCTCATTTAGATGCTTGCAAGTAACATGACAGTAACTACGATGACTGACTACCTGCCTGGAGGGTGTTACACTGTGATGAATTCTTGCATTGTTAATATGAGTACAACCAACAAGTTCTAAGTTTCCATATAAAATGGATTTTGTAATATTTCACCAGCTCCTTTGCCACTAGAGGATTAGAGGGTCCTTTTGTGCAAGTGACTACAGACCATAAAATGTCTTTTCAGCAACGAAGTTAGTTGTGTGTAAGTGTAGATACCAACAGAGAAATTAAAGCTTTGGTAATTTCTGAATTAATTGCAAATAGTGATTCTCACTCTCCAAAGAAAAATGTGCTATTGGCAATTAGTCTTCTCCAGCCTTTTGCAGCTATTTTTATCTTGCTAGACTGCAGCACACAGATATATTGTGAACTCCTAACAGGAGTGTGCAATGCCGGACTCCACTTATAACAAATAGTAGGTTACAGCAGACTGAAAACTGATTTCCCAAGCCAAACATCTCGTATGTTTTTCTTTGGTTGTAATAGACAGAAATTGACATTTCATGGACTTCTGTGTGTATCACTAGTGGTTAGAGGGGAGATAAAATACAAGGACTAAAAAGGTTTACCTTCATACAAATAGTGACCCTCTTGTGAACTTTCTTTAGTCAAAAACAAATACTTTACATTAGGAAATATTTCCTATATTTTCCTTCTGCTTTCATCTCTTTGTTGGGATAGCAATACAGGATGCTTCTATAAGGCAGTTGCCTGTAAACAGCAAAGCTTGAGTGGCTAGTTACAGATACTCATTGATGGGAAAGCCAAGACATTTAATAATACGGGGGAAGGGGGAAGGAAAGGATTCATCGTATCTAATTTTATCCATCATCAACTAAGGAGGAGTCTAAGGTTGTGCATCTGTTAGCAGACCCAGCAGCACTTTTTGGATCCTAGGTCTGCCTGTGGGCCCTAGAAGCATCACAGCTCCACATCAGGGCAAAATGCATAGCTCCCATATAACCACTCCAGATACTTAGTCACCATGGAAAATAGGAGAACGCCTGCAAGACGTTTCAGCAGATCCCACTCTGGACACTGGTGTGTACAGAGGTACACAGTAATAGAGAACTCCAGCTACAGGATTAGGACTTAGTAGTACGAACTCCTGTCGTGGTTTAACCCCAGGCAGCAACTAAGCACCACGCAGCTGCTCACTACTCCCCCCCCACCCAGTGGGATGGGGGAGAAAATCAGGGAAAGAAGTAAAACTTGGGGGTTGAGATAAGAACGGTTTAATAGAACAGAAAAGAAGAAACTAATAATGATAGTGATAACACTAATAAAATGACAGCAGTAATAATAAAAGGATTAGAATGTACAAATGATGCGCAGGGCAATTGCTCACCACCCGCCGACCGACACCCAGTTAGTCCCCGAGCGGCGATTCCCCGCCCCCACTCCCCCCAGTTTATATACTGGGCATGACGTCCCATGGTATGGAATACCCCATTGGCCAGTTTGGGTCAGCTGCCCTGGCTGTGTCCTGTGCCAACTTCTTGTGCCCCTCCAGCTTTCTCGCTGGCTGGGGATGAGAAGCTGAAAAATCCTTG